TGAATGACTCATTACTCTAAGGTTTAACATAATGTGTCCAGCGAATCTAGGGGTTTTAAAACTAAGATTGCTTTCTCAGACAAAGATGTAAGATTTGGTATTTAAATGAAGGGAAATGCAGGGTGTTGTCTCTGTTCCCAGTGCTGTATTGTTCCCACCTCTGATTCTCTGTCAGCTCAAATACGCTGTGGATGCAGAAAGAGAGGAGACACATTATGGATGGTTTTTAGAGACAGGTGTCTGATGCGTCCTGAGATAATGCCAAAAGACTCCTATCTCTCCTTCTAATGGAACAGCGACAGTTGTTTCAAGTGATGAGGTCTGTCAGCCAAATGCTGGAGCGTTGGTCCTCTCTACGCCTCTCTTTTCTCCCATAAATCAAAGATGCTGCTGAGAGAAGGAATCAGAGGGAACTGAAAAACAATCTAGCCTCAGGTGATCCTGGGACAGTGAATCCACTGTAGAATAATATCTCCATCAAACACCGGCTTCATGTTTGACTGGCTTCTGTGCAGTAGGGAAGGGACGAGGGTCTAATGCAATCCATTTGATCAAACAGTTGATCCTAGAATTGCCATTACAACTAAGTTTGAGACAATCAACATATGGGACAAAAAGTGTTTATTTAAAGAGTTTCCCGCTCCTTCATCCCTATTCTTTGGTGCAAAGAAGTGAAATTGGATGAATATGTTAGTGTCATCTCCAATTTCAAATAGGTAGACTTGCCAAAAGCTGATTCTCTCTGGAGAAAATGTTGTACCTCCAGAGTGAAAATATCATCTGAAAGGCGAAGACGGTAAAAGCCAGTCATTTCAAAATGATATATTTTTCTTATAGTGCCTTTCCTTTTCACCTCAGCGGTTATGGGAAAGAAGGAATAAAAAGAAGAAATGAGAGTAAGTGAGCGATTCATATATTGGAGAAGGTGTGTGGAGGACATTTTATTTTATTTTTTTATTTGTATTTAACCAGATAAAAGCATTGAGATACAATCTCATTTACAATGCTGACCTGGCCAAGAAGGCAGCAACGTTACACATTATTACACATAACACAGACATGTAAAATACAGAGAACACAACTAAGTAAACAAAAGACGAAAAGCAGTCACTACATTGTGCACATTTGGGAAAGGTGCACTACTTATTACTGCAAGAGCAGCTGGTGGTTAGGACCTCAGTACACTTCAATTGAAAACAGGCTATAGGGACAAGTGGCATCAGTTTGAGGCTTGATTGAAGGTCATTCCAAGACCAAGGACCATAATGAGAAGAGAGGAGACACACTGATGAGTACAGGAGTGACACCTCTGAAGAGCATGTTAATAACGTGCCAGGCCCAGGCTGGTAACCACTAATCAGCTCGTCTGATTGTAACACGAAACACACACAAACACTCTCCACTCTCTATCTCCATCAGCCCTGAAACTAGACTGCTTCGTCATGTTCTGGGGCGGCCCCCTGTGCTAACAGTGTGTCGCAGCTTTTACAGAGACAAAAGAAACAAATGAGATGGCTGGGTTACAACAAACAGCTCCGGGTTGTTCTCTCCCCTGGAAAATGAAAGTCCCCCCCCCCCCCCGCCCTTTTGCAACCACCGTGTCAATTAGAAGAGGTGTTGCTCATACTCACTCTCTGGTTCACCGGTAGCTTGTGCTGATTGTTATTTATTTAGATCAGTCTTGGAAGGGAGTTTGCTTCGATTTAAAGCAGAATACTGGTACAGTATATTTCAGCACCTGGAGATAAAAACCTCAGCTAAGATCATGTCAGTGGGGAGGCTGAGGCATAAAGGAAGTACAAACAGCCCTCCACAAGCAGGATTCTGACCTATAGGAGGTAGAGGAAGGAGCTGTGTGTACAGAGGGCTCTTCTGAATATTTCCCCAGTGAGGGAGAGCAGGCCAGAGGCACTGAGGTCAGCAGATAGAGTCCGGAGCCCATTGACAGCTGCTGGTTTGACTTTGATGCGCCATCAGTGTTCAGCACACCGCTTCCCCCCCGCCGCCCCTCTTGCACTAACCGGCAAAGCGTGTTTGTTCAACCTGAACGCACGCTAGCCTCTCATTATGCCGCCCATGCAAACTTTGTCTCTTTGCAGCTGTTTAATGGCTGCACGTCTGTTTTTGTTTGTTTCCTCACCATAAGATTATTGCACCTTTATGGTTGGTCGGGGGGTTGGAATAATCCCTGGCATCTGTTCAGAGAGGGAGGGGTGCGCAAAGAGCCAGAGGTAGAGGCTCACTTCTATTTTATTTATTTTTCTAAATACGAGACCATGCGGCCCTCTATTTCATTCTTTGCCACTGAGGCCGGGGCTGTGGCTGCTTTTTAAAGACAAGAGTGATGGAAGGGGATATGTGCTAACACAGAGGTCACTGAAGGAGCTTCCTGCTGCCATATATCCTTCCCAAAATGAGCACAGAATAGCAGGAATTAATCTAATCACTGCCGTGTTAGTCTCATTTACTTACAAATGTATGCAGAGAAGAAACTTTATTGTGACCCTTTTTTCTTTCCCTGTGAACATTGTAATTACTGTTGGCACAGCTAACATTAAACTTCCTGAAGATAATATTTTTTGCTTACTCCAGCAACAAGGTTCTTGACTTTCGGTTTAACTTACTTTTCATTTCATCATTGTTTTTTTCTGTCATACAGCAGAAGTTATACAGCAGAGGAGCTGCCCTGAGCTCCTCTTGACAGCATCATCCACTTCCTATCTTTCTCTCAATTCATCTTCTCATGGCTTCACTGCCTCCGGTCATTATGGCAGGAGAACAGGAAGTTAATCAACGCAGCATTATCTCCCTGCCTGCACCTGGAGGCAAGGTTGCCAGTCATGCTACCACCCCCTCTCTTCTGGGACCCCCGCCAGCCTGGGAACCCCTCACACTGCAGCGCCTTGCAGGGTCCCTAAGGGCCACAGTGCTGGGTCTCTGCGCCAGGTATCACTTGTGACACAGCCTTGATGAGACAATGGGAGCCTTATTACAGTGGAGAATACTTAGGAAAAAGGAAACGAAAAACATCTCCAGTTTTAGTTATTGCTCTGTGCTTTTTCATATTTTTCCAAGTCCTGCTGTTGAGGAAGCTGGTATTTTTGGAGACATTATTGCCCCATGTGGACAGGCCAAGCAACAACGGAAATGCCCAGAAGAGGCCCAAATCTTTAAATAAATACAGTCCATGGCCGAACTCAAGTGAGACAATCTTTAAGTAACATATCTCCACTTAAACGTGTGTTGACACTCCAACCTGAGGAGAGATGCACATCCTTAGAAAGTAAAAAGATGATGTTTTTCTTGAAGATGGCAGCAAGTCTGTGCTTGTGTCTAGCACTCTCTTACTGTCTGAGAAGCTGACAAATGTTCTTGCTGAAGAGTGCTGAAGAGTGTCGCTGGTAATCATTAGGTTGTCCACCAGCATCCAAAGTGCTTTTATTTCTGCCCATTAGTTTGGTGAGAAAATGGCATGGTATGGTCTATCGCAGTGGTTCTCAACTGGTGGGTCGCGGACCCGTTTCGAGTGGGTCGCAGATGTGTGAGTGAAGAAATCTTTTTTTTTTTTTAAAGTTCTTTGGGGGAAAAAGTCAAACTTTTATTTTGAAGGCCCGATTTTCTAACGCTGTGCATGCACTCGGCGTTGGACTGGAAGTACCGGAGACCATAAACGGTTTTGAAAACTTCTGTCACGTAGTGATCATCTTCTCAATAAAACATCTTTGCTGATTTTTTTTCGAGTCTTCTGGCCAATCAGAATCAAGATTGTTGCCGGAAGTCCCCAACTTTGCGGTAGAACTACTCTTTATACATCCATGGTTACAACTTCAGATAAAAATGAACACATAATGAAATATGACCCCCGGTTTGATGATTGACAGGGCACAGAACAATGGGGGCTATCTACCCTACCCACAATTCACACAGACAAGTTCAGCTGTCAGAACAAAGTGAAAAACAAACAATGCATAAAATATTAGTCGTAACACATTTATTTATGTTCTTCTCAGAGTGTACCAGAATCCGTAGTTTATACTGTATGTTAGTATTTCTAAAAATCTCCTGGGGGAGACCCCCCTTCTGGGGTTGGGTTTTCAGCATGTGTGCCTTTTTATGTTACACAGTTCAGCTTTGATTCCATCATCTCATTAAACCTTTTTTAAAAGCATACTTTAGTTCTGTGAAGGGATATAAGGGATACATGCACTGTACTTCACTTTAATTAATCTTGTATGCTGAAAAGCGTATATATTACAGCACGATCTTTGTTGAATAGATTTGAGTGGTTCAAATTTAGGTCGCGATGTATTGACAAGGGAAAAAGTGGGTCCCGAGGCCTGACCAGTTGAGAACCACTGGATGGAGCTCCCAGACTGAGGCAGTGGGCACGGCGAGCATGGGAAACATCAAAGTCTTTGAAGTATCTCCATTATACCAGTGGCAGTTTGGGCTTCTTGAACTTCAGTGTCTATATCTCTTTGTACACAACTGACTGAAGGATTCACACCCTGTTTTTGTACCAGCAGTACACACACATGTCAATATTGTGAGACTGGCGTGTAATTATTATTCAAAGGTTAAAGACTGGATTGATCCATAGAGGAGTGTCAAGGGCAGATCAAAGGGATTTGGGGGAAGATCGGACCAAAAATGTTAAAAGCTGCTCGCTCTTAAACACAGACATCAATCTTTCTCAGAGCACCTTGATGTCCTCAGAGGAGAAGTTGATCAAAGCTTTCGTAACAAAGATGGTCTCAGAAGATGATCTGACCTCAGCCGCGTTCCACTTCTGTCTTTCACTTTACTTTTACCAGTCTCCGTTTACCTGCCCGAGCTCCCCGACACTGCCCCTGTTTCCGTCTTTCCTGTGTTTGCGCTGCCGGTAAGACTGTCTGAATATCAATGAAGCAGTCTCACCGATGTATTACAAACACAAGAGAACAGTGATTAAAGATGACATATCTAAGCCCTTCTTCTCTTCTCTCTTTTCCTTTTCACAGGAGATCGCAGCTTACTTGATAACATTTGAAAAGCATGAAGAATGGCTAACGACATCCCCTAAAACAAGGTAAGACAATTACACATCTGCCCTCTTTTAAAACACAAGTTAAGATTCATAGCCCTAAAAGTATTACATTCAGGGAGCCTGCATTTACATTTTGAGTTTTACATAATTTTTTTCTTCAAGAGCATTTCCCTTATGCATAGCTTGCAACCTTCTTCAAGTTCAGTGTAGGATGATTAATATTACAGGCTGCTGATGGCTGTTCAGAATTATGTACAGGTTTTGGATAAATGATAGAATATTAATATTGACTAATAATTGCCTTTTAGCAAGTCAATTAACATAACATGCACTGGTGCCTGCTTTGAATGTAATGTTAATGTGTTCTTATCGGTCTGCACATTCAACACTCCACTAATAACACGGTTGGAGCTGGAGGTGTTTGTCTGGGTCAGACGTTACACCCACACGTGGAACAAAATGCCAAGAGCTACTGTAATAATTCAACTACAAAAGGGTTGCCAGCTACTCGCTTAATTTATTTTGTTAATATATGCAGAAACATATAGGGACAATTTGCAAATAAAGGACACGTTCTCGTTGACTTTTCAGCAAACATGGACCATTTAATGTCAGCAAATGAATATAATTTGTGGCAGCGTTGGCTGTGATGTAATTATATAATCTATGTAGAATAATAATTAATAATGCATGTGGCCTTGTAATAGCAATTTATCTACATGTGACAGTGGCGGACAGCTCTCAGACTGGCTCGTATTTGACTGTTTCACTGACAGACCACACAATCACGTCACCGCTACAGCTGTTAACACAATGTCCCCTTTACTTAAGTTAACATTTTCATGCATTTTGAATCAGCTCAATGTGTAAAACCTTCCTGTCTAAGGTTTTGCAATGTGGACTGGCTACGCTGGCTTTATTAGCAGTCCTCACCCATGTGTAAATGGACCCTGGGCTCACTGATATAGAACCCATTCGTCTCGTCCCTCTCCCCACCCCTCCTCTTCTCCGATGCCTCGGAGGGACATTGATAATAGTTCTGCATAAAGACACTGCCAATTACAATACGTTCTCTGGTGTAATTATGGAGCACGGGCCAAAAGAGCAATGAGCTCACCTGTTTTTTTTATCAAGAATGTCCTTTCTACTCTTCAACTCACGAAAAATGAAAATAATGTTAGGCATATTTGCTACAGCCTGTAAAGTTGGTATTCATTTGATTACCCTCCACAGAAAATACAGGTGCTGTTATGTTGCCGTAAATTACACTAAAATCACAAATATGAAAGGTTCGAAAGGATATAATAAACGGTGAAGGACTGTGAAGGGTATCAGAATGTCATGGCGCTGGCTTCCTCCAGCACAAGACAGCCTAAATTTGACATATGTGTGAAATGAGAGACACTTTTGATCTAGTGACTTTCCCTGTCTGCTACGCTGTGGTCTCAGCTGCCAGAGCGCTCTGGGATTTCAGCCCCATGTCATGTCTCAGTGCAGGTGCTCAGCAAATGTGTCACCAGGGAGCAGCCCCTAGTCTATACCTGAGATCACCTGACAACAACACATTCAATGTTTTAGAGCAGCCGTCAATGCACGACGGGGTGTGTGTGTGTGTGTGTGTGTGTGTGTGTGTGTGTGTGTGTGTGTGTGTGTGTGTGTGTGTATGTGTGTTCACTGTATGTGTGTGTTTCTAGACAAGAGAGGTTGTGTGAAGTGTTTGTGTTTTCCCAGATGTCAGTGAAAGGGTACAGCATTGTGATGGATGTTGGGGCCAGGAGAGGTTGGGGGGAGTGAAAGGGTGCGGCATGTACGTGTGATTGATGGGAGATGATTGATGGCTGGCTTCTATATGAAAAGCTTTTTGCTCAAGGTCATGGGTGAAAGGTCAAACTCGGGACACCTGTGGTTAAGTGCTGCCTTATCATTTGTCATCGCACATCTTCGGGTGCATGCGGGCGAGTGTGTTTGCATCTGTTTGTGGGTGTGTGCTGTCTGCGTGTGGGTTGACCCCTGTGGGGAATAGGCTAAGTAGGCTAATTCTCCCCCTGCCAGTGCCTGTAGACAGGGTCAGTGGGCCATGATGGGAGCCAGAGATAAGCAGCAGGGTCATACACAGAGAGGCAGCGCACTGCATGGCTGCACCGCATGCATGTAACAACTCTGACACATGCAGGTCGTAAACATGGGAGTGGGCCACAGCCAGAGCGCAAGGAGCTGACGCTAGCTGTTTGACCAAGGTGACACGCGATGCAGGACATGCCATGAATAGAGATGGCATCCTGTCAACAGGAAGATGAGATGAAGTGAACCAATTACATGCATGCACAGATATATTTGACTAGGCTAATACACATCAGCCATACAGGAACAGTACAGCATGTGACGTCTTTTGTTTTGGTCTGTTTCTGTTTGTTTATCATTTTAAAATCTGAAGCGCGCCAGGGGAGAGTGGTGGAATGCTGAGTGATTGATGTGCCTACAGTAGCTCTAGTAATACACATTCCCTTTCAGATAGGAAGTGCAACAGTGCTTAAAATCAATAGCAGTGTTCTCCCACTGACTGCTTGAACAGCACTACAGCTAATTCAGGCCGCACCTGTCAGAGCTGGGGAAATCTTTCCCTACTAAGGCCTTACACTTTAATTTACACCCACAGCCTCGCTGAGTTCCATTTCCATTAAAGGTAGAGCTCGGCATTATGGCTTTAATGAAGGCCACGGCCAGGCTGTGATTTAAGATGGCCGTTAGCCTGCACCTTCACTCCACAGGAGGGAACACACTTAAAGGGACAATTAGAATGTTCCTCTCCTACATGGTTCCAGATAGCCATACCCATTCTTTCCATTTGCCTCTTTAAGGATGTGCCCATGATGCTTCAGCTGATGGGATCTGAAGGTGCCTGTGGGAGAGTGAAAACAGAGGGGAAGCAAACAAATTGTGTGGCGCCAAATTTAGGCAATAACGTTTGATTTGACCTCATCATGGCCGTTTCAATGTGCTCCTGTTGAGAGCAGGCATTTGTTGTCCATCATAAATGACACAAATGTCTCCTTAAGGGGCTCTTTCAGAGGTGTTTGTATGCTGACAGATGGAGAAACTATTGACTAGAGGGTGTCACAGATTGGTCAGCCCAAAGAGGTAATGGACACCTGTGTGTCGTATCGAAATAGCTCGTTATCCTGAGCGTCCCCTGGATGGCACATGCTTTCATGAGTGGAGCAGTTACACATAGTGTTTCTTTCCTCCACTGTTTGTTTCATAAGGCTAGTGAACAGCAAACCCATCTCAAAACACAGAGAGAGTGCTTCTACGCCTGTCATCCAGATTGCTCAGAATGTGTGTGGGCTTATTTCTATGATATCCTGTCTTGCATAAAATACAAACAGAGTCGAATTGTTACAGCTGTTGGAGTGTTAAAGTTGTGGGTTATTCTAGGCTTTGACTTTGACTTCTAGGCAAGTTTGGAAATGTATTCATGTGCTTACATGACCACAGAACACACACACAGACATACACACTTGCACACATTGTATATTGAAACTATCAAACAATAAGCACCAGTCCTTGGAGGGCCCAGCAATGACACTGAACCTTGCCGCCCCCACGTCCCAACGCAATAGCCCTCTCTCCTCCCACATTCGCATCCACAGCAACAGCAGCAGCAGCTCTCCAAAATGAAACTGAGTCCCTTTAGACAGCTTCCAAAGACAATGCTTTTATTAAAACCTACAGCAGCGGCGCCACCCCAGAGGCACGAGAACACCAACAACAGAGTAGAGCAGAACTGAGAGGCAGCCTGAAATCTACTAATGACTGTTTGTTTGCTATTGTGTACGGTATTTGCTATTGTGTATGTAGCCTGTGCTGATCTGTGTGTGTGTTTGTGTTACTGGCAGAAATTGAAAGAGGGGATGTTTACGCGTGTGAATACGTATGTGAATGTACTCTTCCGTATGCGTGACTACGCATTTGAAAAAGGCATTGTGGATGAACATATGCAGGCATTTATGAATGTATTGAGATGGCATGGCATGTGCGTGCATATATAACTGTGTGGATGTGTTTTGAATTATAAATGGGGTTAGTGTATTCTATTTTTTCTTCTTTTTTTTTTACAGGAGAGGTAGTATCTGGGTGAGTCTGCCACTGTGAATAAGACCTCCCCAGGCCTATGTGTACACTCTGTTTCTGTCACCTAGTCTGGCACATGGTGTGAGGAAGTGCTGGACGCTGTGTGTGTGTCTATGTGCGTATAAGTGGGGGTCGGGGCTGATGTGTAGGATGTGCCTGAGAAGGGCGTCTGATAGTGTTTGGTCCTAATGCTTTGTGGCACTCGTTGGCTGGCAGAGTTTCAGAGGAGCGTGGAAAAAGACAGGAACAGCAGGGGAGAGAGAGAGCGAGAAAGAGAAAGAGACATAGAAGGAAGAGAGCATTATGGGTAGGCACAAAGAAAGCGGCACAGAAACAAAGGCATACAAGATAAAGAGTTATTAGATCAAATCTCATTGAAACCAAGACAGAAGGACATGTGGCACTGGATCAAACCAGAGTTACATGTCAACTAAATGTAAAAAGACTGTTTGGTGAGGGGAACTCGTTTGATATCCTTCATCTTTTTCTTTTGCTAGTCCTTCTTCTTTTCTGATGCTTTTATCCCAACTCATCATGAGGAAAAGTTTAGTTTGTTGCATAGTGACACGTCTCCCCTGGCTGCCCCGTTCTGGCGGGCCCTGGAGGACACCGTCCCACGCTGCTTCCACCTATAGTCGACAGCCCTGACAAGGACAGCCTTGCCCACCTGGGGCCTGGTGGAGTGTCGTGAACCCGGAGAGCATGAGGTAAAAGTGAGAGAAAGAGATACAATGAAAAATAGCCATCAAAGGCAGAGTGAATATGATGGAGTGAGAGCAGTTTAGAAAATGGAAACATGTCGATAAGAGAAGCGAACGGACGAGATGGAGATGAGAGGAATAGTGATGGATGGGGTGAGGAGGAGAAGAAGTGAGGGGGGAGAGGATTTACGAAAACAGACGAAAGAGCGG